ATTTTATTATTACACAGTTAAAGGAATGGAATAATAAAACTTGGCAATACAGAACAGTAATTTAACTAGTTGCTCTTTATCTATATATTCCCCTAAAATCTTATGATACAGGGTAGAATTGACAGAGTCACCTTTAGTGCTAACCAACATTGTCAACATGGAAAACAAAACAATGGCCAACAAATTGGGAGCGACCAATATACATCCCCATCCACAAAAAGGGAGACACAAGAGACTGCAGCAACTATAGGACCATAGCACTGATCTCCCACGCAAACAAAATCATGTCAAAATTCTGCAACATAGACTCCAAACATGCATGGAGAGAGAAATCTCAGAGATTCAAGTGGGGTTCAGGAAAGGAAAAGGCACTAGTGACCACATTGCAAACATACAATGGATAATGGAGCACACCAGGGAATTCCAAAAGAAAATCAGCATGTGCTTTATAGACTATAGCAAAGCCCATAGATCATGAAAGGCTATGTAATGCCCTTAAAGACATGAGAGTGCCAACATGTCTGCTAGTCCTGATAAGGAATCTGTACTCAGGACAAGAGGCTACTGTCAGAACAGAACACAGCGAAACAGCCAATTAGCAAAGGGGTCAGACAAGGCTGCATCTTTTCACCCTATCTGTTCAACCTGTATGCAGAACATATTATAGGAAAAGCAGGCTTGGATAAAGAAGAAGGAGGAGTGAAAATAGGAGGAAGGAATACCAACAATCTAAGATATGCAGATGACATCATAGTACTAGCAGACAACCTCACAGACCCAGAACACCTATTAAGGAAGATCAAAGAAGAAAGTCCAAAGGCGGGCTTAATGTTGAACATAAAGAAAACAAAAATAATGACCACCAAGGACATTCATAAGTTCAACCTAGACAATGAAGAAATAGAAATAGTAAAAGAATTCTCATATCTGGGATCAAACATTGATAGAAATGTGAACTGCAGTCAGGAAATCAGAAGAAGATTAAGAATGGCAATGGTGGCTATAGAACCAGAAAAGTTGCTAAGATATACAACTCAGAACAGAAGTTAGAATCATACAACCCATCATATTCTCTATTACCATGTATGAATGTGAAAGCTGGACTGTTAAGAAAGATGATCGGAAGAAAATCTATGCATCTGAGATGTGATACAGGAGAAGAGTGCTGAGGATCCCATGGACAGCCAAAAGGACAAATGAGTAGGTCCTAGAGCACATCAAACCAGAAACCTCCCTGAAAGCCAAGATGACCAAATTGAGACTGTCGTAATTCGGAAACATCATGAGAAGAGTGGACTCATTGAAAAAGACAATAATGCTGGGAAAGATGGAGGGAAATAGGAAGAGAGGAAGGCCACGTGCCAGATGGATGGACTCTATTAAGGAGGTCATGGATATTAAAGAGTTGGAGGAATTAAGCAGAGCTGTGGAGGACAGAGGGTCTTGGAGATGTCTCATCCATAGGGTCGCCATGAGTTGAGATTGACTCGAGAGCAGTTAACAACAACAACAAAACAGGGTAGGATATAAATATTTTAATAAATAATAAAATAATACCTTATTTGTATCACAGTTAGCTATATTTGCATGTTTATGTGCACTAATTGCTAGTTTGTATGTTAGTATGACATCTTCTCTGTTTGCTTTTCCATACATATTCTCTTCCTACATCATTCTAATCTGCAGCCATTCTCTCTCTTTCCCTTTCAATTTGTCTCTCTTTTCCCTCCATCACACCATTTTTTAATTATGGATAAGTATAGTAAAGAAAACTCATTTTATATGCTTTCATAAAGAGAACTAATTGTATATTTTCCTTTGCAAGTTATTTTCTCCTGTGTGCAAGTGAGATTGGTAGTTGTTCAGCTTCTGCCCTAGCAATTTGATTACTTTGCTAGAAAGATCCACTACAGTCTCTCACATTTGCCAACAGGTTATTGAAATAAAATAGTTATAAATAAAAATAAGTAAGGTTTTTTTCTCTCTTGCACTTTAAGACAGGTTGAAGGAAATGGGCATAAATTACAGGAAGGAAAATTTTGATTAAACCTTAGAAGAAATTTAGACTGCATTCACACTGCAGAAATAATCCCGTTTGACACTACTATAATTGCCATATCTCAATGCTTTGGGATTCTGGGATTCTGGGACATTTAGCCTTTGGTCAGAAAGCTGTGATGCCACAACAAACTACAGTTCCCAGAATTCTATAGCATTGAGTCATGGCAGTTAAAGTTGTGTCAACATGAATTATTTCTGCAATGTGGATGCAGCCATAGTAATTGTAAGAGTAGTTCAAAGTAAAACCACCATTGGTTTGCATTGAAGTGTGCTTCCTCTCTATGGAAATCTTCAAACAGAGGCTGGATAAGTCTTCTGCTTGGAGGGCTCTAGCCCTGGATTTCTTGCATCAAGCCAACAAGCTTCCTCCCAATGTATGATTATATGATACTTCATCAGAAACATTGACTCCTCCTGCATTAACTTCTACCATCTGGGAATTTCTAAATGAAACCAAGCAGACATTGCCAGAGAGAAAGCACATTGTAACATGCAGATATAAAGGCCGGGCTTTTTAAGAAACATAAAAAATGATACACCATGTTGTCATAACTCCTAATGCTGACTGTGAGCACAAAGAATGGGAAGGCTGAGGTGGCACCAAATGACAAAAGAATATGAATCAGATTTTAGATGACAAGGTTAAGGTTGCAAGGCTCAAAGTACAAACACAGGGTGTGACCATTGCCTGACCAAAAGAGGAAAAAAGGGACAAGAGGATCACACCCATCCTCTAGCAGTGGCTTGCAGACACATCTTTTTCTTTCATATAGTTCTGTGTTTTTCTTACCAATTGAGCACCATTGAATTAAAATCTGCTATTAGCTCCTCGCCCAGAGACTGCCCTTTTCAGGCATTCTTTCACTGGACGGTTATGTGTGTGGTGGGGTGGGGATATAGTTGGAGCTGGAGGTTCCTTCCCATGCTTGTATCTGTTTATTAGAACTGAGGCCAATGAGCATACTGTCTGGGGGATGCTGGGGATTATAATCCCAAATTTTAACTTTTTCAATAGATTCTGATCTCCAACCCAACTTGGCAGGGGCATCCCCAATTAATCCTCTGCAGTCCCACTTTGTCAGCTGCTTTTAAAATGTCCCAAATTCTCTCTCCTCTTCCCACTTTCCCCCTTTGTCCTCAGTTTACTTCAATTGTTTCAAACTGAGTTCAAAGGGAAGAAGTAGGTTGCACTCCACTGCCTCAGCAGGAAGGAGAGGAAAAGAGTGAGTGAAATCTTGCCCTTCCCTGTTGACTCAGGAAAAAGGAAATTGCTGCAGCCTCTTCTAGCCTGTCTGGTTTTCCTCATCTATACATTTTTTACCATCCACACTGATGCTGCTGGGACATGCATTTTCCAGTTTTTATCTGTAAAATGTTGGATGTAGGGTTGTCAGATCTCAGGGTGTGGATCTGAGACTCCAGTTTTCATGGGCCATCTTCAAGTGGGAGCAAGAGTGTAGTTTCTCCAGTTTTGGTGGACTCAGCTCCAGACAAAAGAAAAGGAGTGTGTGCAAATCTCCAGCTCAACTAAAGGAGCAGCTTTTAGTTACACCCCTTAAAGTTTAATGTTAAAAGAGCAGCAGTTTGGTAAAATTCACAAGGATTGATCAATTTCTAGCTGCAACCAGTGGTATCATTAGGGAGGTGCAGGGGATGTCACCCACATCGGGTGACAGCCGGTCAGCGGCCTCTCCCACTGTGGGATGAGAAAGGTGAGTGCACCCTCCCAGCTTTGCAGCAATGGCAGCTCCCTTCTCAGGAAGAGACCACCACCACAGCAAAGGAGAAGGGTGAGTGCACCCTTTTAGTCACTACCACCTCTCCAGGTAATACCAGGAGTGGGAATGCCACTGGCTGCAACTTGTAAAGGTTCTGGGGGTGAGGTCTACACTTGTTCCCCCCCCCCCCATTCACTGGGGTTAGGGGCACAGGACCCCTGTGAATGTGGAAAAACTGCAAATAACAAAAACACTATGTTTTTACCTGAGAGAACACCTCCCTATGAATCTCTAGGTCCTCCTGTGCAACTCTATGGTCAACATCTGCCAGACATTGACCACAAAATTGTGCTGGAGGAGCTACAAATGCCTAGTGGAGAGTTCTCTCTAGGAATCTCTAGGTCCTTCATTACGACTTTTGGTTAAAGTTGACTATAGAGTTGCGCTGGAGGACCTAGATATTCCTAAAGAGAACATATTAATAACATCAATTCTTAATAACCAAATCTGCAAAAGTCAAAGCCGCAAATGTTTTAATATGTTGTACCCCACCCCGGTTGCCTAGCAGAGGGGCGGGCTAGAAATAAATTACTATTATTATTATTATTATTATTATTATTATTATTATTATTATTATTAATACTTAGTTTTCCTTTCTCCTTCCTCCTAGTTTTTGTGACACCAGGTCTCACTGTCTGCTTTTGTCTGCATCCACCTTCAAGCAAGTAGGCTAGATTAAATGTTCCTTATCCTCTCTCTCCAAAGTAAAAGAGAAAGAATAATGCCCTCATTTCACCTTGATCTAGAAACAGCCCCTTTAGCTAAGATTTCTCGCTTAACTTCCAAACAGGAAAATATTTTCTGTGTGTGTGTGTTTGATGACAAGCTGTGAACAACTGCAATTGGTGTTTTATGTGTAGCACTTAATGATATTGCTAGGGCAGTCCTTACATCCCAGATTTGGGCCTCAAACTCTCAGGACCTGAGGTGATCCTGAAATGGCAACCCTAGTTGGAGGGTATATGATCTGTCTCTGTTCACTGTACAATAGAACATGCAGAATGAGCCTTTATGCACAGTTATTTTGCTGTTGTTTTGTGCCTTCCAATTCTATCTAACATGGGGCTTGCTTGGCAAGATTTCTTCAGAGGGGGTTTGCCTTTGCCTTCCTCTGAGGCTGAGAGAGTGTGACTTGCCCAAGCTCACCCAATGGATTTTCATGGCCAAGTGGGGATTTGATCCATAGTTTCCAGAGTTGTAGTCTGGTGCTCAAACCACTGCACCATTATGGCTTTCTTCACACAGTTATTTGACTGTTATTTGTTTATGATGAACACAAGTAGACTGGGGAAGGAATCTGCTTCTGCAATGCTTTTTTCCCTTCCCCATGTCTGCCCAACTATTTTAAAGCCCTGTTCAAATGGGCTGTTGTCAGTATACAAAATAAGGCTTCAGCACCTTGGCTTTCTGCATCTCTTCTCCATGAAAATACTGTCAACTTCAAAATGAAAGAACTGTGGACAGGGGTGAGCAGGTGGGAAGGTATCACCTTTAAATGGAATCCTCCTGTACTTTCTAGAGTTGCAAAGAAAGGTAGAGTTGTATTTGGTGCATCTTTTTCTGGGTGCTGCAGCAAGGAGAAAAGCTGCTCATGGTGGAATTTCCCCTCCTATGTGTTTCTTAAAAGCACGAGAACCCTCTTGGGATCTGCTGCCTTGGCAACTCTACACAATATGTTAAATAAAACAAGTACAGACAGTTCAAATGTCCAAAGGCAAATAACAAAGCAGAGACTAGAACCAAACACACACACATGAGGTCAAATGAACTGAAGCATCTTGCAGCATATAGGTATGTCTTGAGTGAAGAAAATATGCAGTTTATATAGGGTTATAAGGTCCAGGTTAATTACTTAGTGTTGTAGTGGCTATATGAAATGCATGAAGGTTTAGCTTGTGTATCTATCTAGTACTTCAGTGCTGTCAAAGGTTGTTCAAGTTAAGGAGGTGAGGGAACTGTATTTCAGCTCATTCACATTGCAGCTCATTCTTTCACTTTTGTGACTTTAAGCAAATATAACCTTGCATGTTTATATTTAGCTTTCAGTGATGGGCGCCTGTCAAGCATAAGGATTGTGTTCTTTCTTGCTGAAATCCCAAGGCTGTTTTTTGTTCATTAGAATAAGATAAAGGGGTCAGCAGATGGCAGGAACTATTCTATAAACATAAAGCATTGATTGTACTGTACTGCAAGTCTTTTGATTTAAATGAAACTTATAAATGTTTTGGGGTTTAGTGCTTGAAATGCAGATAGTGGTGATCTGAAGTATCTCAGATTCGTTACCTTTTGCTATGACATCTCACCCACCCACAGCAAGTGGAGGAATATCAAGGTGGTGGCGGTTATTGTTGTTGTGTGGATTCAAGTCATTTCTGACTTATGATGACCCATAAGGTGATCATGGGGCTTTCTTGGCAAGCTTTCTTCAGAGGGGGTTTGCCTTTGACTTCCTCAGAGGCTGAGTATGACTTGCCCAAGGTCAAGTTCCCATTGCTGAACAGAGATTTGAACCCTGGTCTCCAGAATTGTAGTCCAATGCTCAAACTACTATACCACACTTGTTCTCTTCACACAGTTATTTTACTATAATTAATAGGTTTCCATGGCTGAGCGGAGATTTGAACCCTAGTCTCCAGAGATCTAGTCCAACAACTAAACCATGCAACCACACTAGCTCATGCAACTCATTCCTTTACTCCATAGTAAAGGAATTTCTTGGAACTACAATCATCAGAAGTTTGCTTATATTCATTTGTGAATTTGGTAGGATAGAACAATAACTTTACATGTGCCTGCCTTTTCAAAATGTTTGGTTTCATTCTGTTTCAAAAACTTGTATATCTTTCATTGAATGGCAATAGTTGGGCTTCTGCTTCATCTGTTTTGACAAGTTGTTTGATTCCTTATTTTAAATTTCATGCTTCAGCAAAAAAAATCACACTGACAGAAAGATGTCAAACAGTCATTGCTATATATATATATATATATATAAAATTCAGCACAGTCATTCATATATATATATATATATATATATATATATATGAGAATGAATGACTGTGTGTCATAAACATTACAGAAATAGGCAGCTCAGGAGCTCTTAGATGTTTATTGATGGAACTGTTTGCTGTTATAACAATGTGCAAAATAATAGCATGGTAAAAGGTAGTTGTATAATCTGAAAGATATTGTGTAGATTATTGATTTGGGAATAATACTGAATGTGTTAATTGCTGCAAAATTATGCATAGTTTCATAGAGGACAAAATGTGAAGATAGAACCTATATTTGATTGATTTAAGAGACTATGTACCACAGATCTGTTGGTTAACATTGACTTTTATAATTCTACTCTTGGATACAAATTTATTGAGAAATTGATGTTTGTAATGAACTGGAACAATTTTCAAAATTATGATTTTTTCTCCTCTGAGCTATGAAAGAATTCCTAAAATTAATTAACAAAAGTAAAAAAAATATATTGTTTTCCACAGACGTTAGACACACTTTTGCAAACAGCACTATACTGACAGCACTATCCAATGCATAATTATGAAGTAACTTCATTCAGTAATCCTATGTTTATTCCCAGATAAAGGCCCCTAGGATTCTACCTTAAAAAGAGCTCTCTTTAGACTATGGAGATTATCACACATCTTAAAAACCTGGCTCACCTCTCCCAAATTGAAGTCTAATTCAGGCTGCAACCATATCCTATCACATGGCTTTTGCAATGGAATCTGCCATCCAAGTACAGCCAGGCTCCAGTGCAGGTCCCAAGATGCACTCCAGTGGCCATTTTTCAAAGTTGGAAGCTCCCAATTTTGAAAAATGTCTGTCAGAGCGCGTCTTCAGACCTGTGCTGGAGCATGGCTGTACTTAGATGGCAGATTCCACTGCAAAACCCATGTGACAGGACCTGGCTGCAGCAAAAGTTAACAAGTCTGAGATACTGAATCAATTAGACTTCAATTCAGGAGAGATAAACCAGGTTTTTAAGATGTTCTGTGGAACATAAAGAAAACAAAAATAATGACCATGGAGGAATTACATACATTCAACCTAGGCAATGGGAAATTAAAATAGTTAAATAAAGAGTTCCCATACCAAGGATCAAACATTGATCAGAATGGAGACTGCAATCTAGAAATCAAAAGGAGATTAGGAATGGGAAGGATGTCTATGAGAGAAATAGACAAGATCCTAAAGAATAAAGATATACAACTGAACACTAAAATTAGAATCATCCAAGCCATTGTATTTCCCATCCTCATGTACAGATGTGAATGCTGGACAGTGAAGGAAGTAGATAAGAAAAAAATGAACTGAATTGAGATGTGGTGCTAGGGAAGAGTGCTGAGGGTACCGTGGACAACTAAAAGAAGAAGCTGAGAGACATGCACACATGCTTCCCTGCTATCCTTGCCACTGCCCCCTTCTCCTCAGAGGAGAAAGGGGTGGTGGCAAGGAGGTACTGGGGGCATGCACACATGCTCAACCTGGCTCCTTGCTACCAGCCTGTAGTCCTCAGAAGAACAGGACCGTGGCAGAGATGGGCGGGGGCATGGGAGGCTGACTGGGTGTCACCCCCTTCTGGGGTGTCACCCAGTATACCCCCCAGGACGCTACTGCTATAAAGCCCTATACGTATTATGTCCAGACTATCTCAAAAATCTACAAGGGAAGGTTTTCTCTCAGTCTTGCCACCATCACAGACTCATTTGGTGAGGACACAAGAGAGAACCTTCTCAGTGGCTGCTCCCACCATCTGGAATTCCCTTCCGCAAGAGGCTAGGCTGCCCCCCCCCCGATCTTTTTTTGCTGATGGGAAAAGACCTTTTTGTTTGAACAGACTTTGAATATGTAAGCAGGGAAGCTTCTTATTGGGATGTGTGTTTTATTTATATTTTAACTTGTTTGTCTTTTAAATGCTTTAATACTGTAGGGATTTTTAATTCTTTTAAATTTTTTATTGTTAAGGGTACTTTTAATTGACTTTTTGGGGGAGTGACCTTGGGTCCCATCCTGAGAGAAAGGAGGCATTGCAAATGAAATGAAGACAAGAAAGGCTGGAGCTGGGCTGGCTTGGGCTGGACTAAGCTCCCATAAAATAACTTTTTAAAAACAAGCTTCTTTGTCAGGGGCTTTGTTAACTGAGGTAAGCCTGTAATTCTTGGCCCAGGATCCATATTCCTAGTGAAACTTGCAGAAGAAAAAATTAGGCAATCACAACAATTTTATTCTTGGTTCTCTCTGTACCCCTCCCTCTATGGAATGTTTCACATGCATTATGAAATAAACAATTTGGGGTGGGGTAGAGAAATTGTACTCATTTTGCATTGGTACAGTGTGTGCATTTATTCTCTTCTGTACTGTATGTGCAGTGCTCAAACCTGTTTTTCATGTTTTTGTAGTTTCACAGAAGTAATGGCTAAATCCCCAAAACAAAGCTCCCATGAACCATGAACTGAATGGCACCTGTGACCGTGACATCATTGCTGATGGGTAATACTCCATCTCATCCCACTTTTAAATGTACTTTTCTTTCAAATTGTGATATTTATCATGGGATTTGAAAGAAGAGTATGAGTAATTTATACACTTAATAATTATTATTAACGTACTGTACTCCAAAGATGCTATGTATGCAGTTTTCAAGAGGAAAATAAATGTTCAAATATGAAACATTATATGGCTGACATTATACAATTCTTGCTTGAATTAATTGGCACCCAAATGCCAGTGTTGTTTCTAAGAGACACACAAGTGACAGTTATTGTTTCTATTAGTAGAAGTTAATGTACAGAGGTCTAGTGTCTTCTCCATTTCTTATGTGACAGTTATAGGGGAAATGGAGCTTAATCAGCCCAAGCTGATACATATAATCATTAAGAGTTTGAACTTGTATCCTGAACTATGTAAAAGATTCCTGAAAACTGTGGTTAAGATTGCCTAGCGGATGTGACAGTCCATGCTGCAATGTAAACTACTTTCTGTTGCCTTTTAGGGTTATCTTTAATTTGCTAGTGTCATCTGGTGTTCTGGAAAAGCCTTCCAGAAACAAATGTTTACAGAATAATGTTTACCTTTGAACTGCTTTTCTCCGCTAAATATGTTAGTATTTAGTGCTTGCTCAGTTTAATGAATTTTATTTATCCAAAGAACACACCACTTGAGTTCTTTTGTCAAAATCAGCTTAAATTTTGATGCATCCATTTTTAATTGTTGTTTTAAT